CTTTTGATGAGGTGAACAATGATCACTTTATCTGGCAAGGAAGCAATCAATTCAATGTTCACATAATCCATGGAGCACCTTCAGTGTACAGGGCTGAAAAGGACTGCAAAATTAACTTTTCCTTGGGAGTATGTGAGGTCTGCGTATGTGAGGTCTGCCTTGCAGGCCATGAGGCAAAGTTTGTACTTTAACAACTCTACATTGTTGCTACAGTATAAAAGCATAGTTATGCAAAAAAAAAAAAAAATGCTCTGCCTGACTTCTAAATACACTTTAATTACGAATGGTGAAATATCAATTTCATAAAATTTCTACATTCAAAAATATAATTTGTCTTTCCCCAATCAGTTGAACGTGTGAATGCTATTATTCGCTTTGGGGTAGACAATAGGCAGAAGGCTGGATACAATCTGCTGGTCGCAGTGTGCAAATTCATGCATTCTCTAGCTCAGGTAAGCATAAAGATCCGTTGCGGTGCTCACTTAGCATGCAGTTTATTTTTTTCAGGTCTCATCCCAGGTGTGAAGATGAAGAAGGTAAGCGGCAAGGCCCAGGAGACCTGTGTTCCCATGAAGAACTCTATTCGATTTTCGCTTGCTAGGGAACACGGACAAAGTCCTTCATTTGTAGGATGCCTGTCAAAGCATATACTGAAACCACTATCTGCAGTTACACAAGGTGGCTTTGGAGATAATTCGACAAGATAACTATGGTAACCACACCCATAGCTTAAAAGCCTGCATTTCATGTTGATCCCTGAAAGTGATCAATAGAAGATAGGGTTCTTATTATCATGGTTACCTTGTCCATCCACAGCCAGACAAACACCCTAGGTGCTTTGTTTAGGCCTGTGACTTAAAAAAAAATTCTTGTCCTACAAAACCTGTGTAGCTAAGACAACCGCAATGCAACAGAGCACACTGCTACATCTGGTGTAAAGATTTAAAACCTCTATAGGAATTCATGAGTCTGATACGGCATTAAAAGGAAGCTGACCTTCCTCCTAGCTCTTAATAATATTGACAATCATAAATGCCCACCACTGTTTAAAGTTAAGCCAATACTTTCTGTTAGGAACGGGGAGCCCGACTTGAGAAATGTTCTTGCTTAGAGTTAAACAACCAACCAAATTCTAATTATACTACAACTAGCGTAAAAAATAAAATCAGTAAAACTTAGAAATTCAGATGGTAGGAGGATAATCAAGCATCTCCTGGGTACCTGTCAGAATCCTGCACTCCTGAAGCCTGCTCGTGCATAATCTGAATATTTATCCCCTAGATGGATACTTGCCAGGGATTTATTTTAAACCTCCTGTCTCATGAAGGGAATGTGTCCCCTTCTCCTCTCCTACTTACTGACCCTGTGTCTGAAAATATCTACCTTCAGCCTTTCTCGAAATAACTGGGCCAGATGTAGTGAGTAAGGGAACTGAATTTTAAAGGAGTGGTTAATGACACAATTATTGCAAAAAGGTTGGGGAAAAAATGTGTTCTGATGTCTGACCTTCCCAGAGTTCTAAATCCCAACATATGAAGAGATCAAGATGAACACAGGCACATTTTAAGGTTAGAGAGCACCTTCTCTGATAAATCAGTCTCTTTGTAGATCTGGAAAGTGAATTAAAATACAGCAGTATGCCGTATTCCAGGCTAAATGGCTACAGCTGAACTAAAGGTATGGGGCTTGAGCATTTGATGTGGGATTGAGTACTTGGCACAGTTCATGCTGAGTTCAGAATGGTCTCTCCCTGCCTTTGTTGTGCTTTAGGGGCAGATTTCTCAGTTTATGTTAACGTCCCTGGTAGAGACATGGCAGTCCCCAGTACACACAGGCACTGCGCTTCACACCAGCACAAGTCAGATTCAACCACTGGGAGACACGAGGGTTTCCTAATCACCTTGGACTCTACTTAAATAACAGGATTCTTATCTTCCATGACCATACTGACCAAATGAAGCTCATATTCCCACCCCCAGATCACAACAGCACAGGATTCAGAGGCCTGGATGGAGACACTGATATATCTGAGTGCCAGAGACCAAGTCCAGCACATTCACATTGAGTGGGCAGCAGGCTCCTAGCTAGATGATCTGACCTTATTGTTCACTAGGATTTCTTCTTTCTCACATTCTTCTGAAATTTTTAGGTCATATGTGTTTATTTTCTGAGACTGGCCTCAAATTCTGTATATAACCAAAGCTGGACTTGGAACCCTGATTCTCTTGCCTCAGCATTCCAAGTGCTGGTATTATAAGGATGCTGAGAATTTAAAGGTGTTTGTGTGTGTGTGTGTGTGTGTGTGTGTGTACACGCTTGTATGTGCAGTTATATGGGTGTGTAATGTACATGTATGTGCAGGTGGGCATGTACATTATACACATGTATGTGAAGGATAGAGGCAGATTGGATGCTGTTCTCTGTGAGCAGTCCACCTTGTTTTCTTGAGACGGGGTCATGTCGAGTAGGCTGACCTGGCTGGCAAAACAGCACCAGCGATCAGCCCGCCTGAGGATTACGCATGCGTGTCACCAGGCCTGACTCTTAAGATCTGTATTCTGGGCACTGAATGTAGGTCCTCACGCTTACAAGACTAGCACTTCACTGATGGAGCCTTTTCAGCCCAGTGCTTGTAGTCAGAATGCACACACCGCTGTTCCACTTAGGCAGGGTACCATATGTCCTCTTGAGTGCACTAGAATTTTCATGAAAATACCTCTGAAGGTTTAGTTCCCATCTTCAACTACATACACACCACCCTGACTACCCTCTTAGTAATGAATGCTTAATACTCTTTTGTATGCTGACATAATTAAATATATTTTAAAAGTTTTTGTAAAATTCATTGATATTGACAGAAAACTTGTTTTCTTTATACACATTGAAACACATAAACGATTACTAAAATTAAAAGCATTTAACTGTGAACCCACTGGAACTCTTGTACTATACTTGAGGAACTACTGTTCACATCTTATTAGAAGGCAAGAGATAAATTATTTAATTTGTGAAGATAAGCAGAAGCCAGTATCTCAGCAATATTTATATCTATGCAGAATATGAGGTGGCCATGATACACTTAACCCTGATATATTTGAAAGCTTTGCTCTGTGGTACCATACAAGATGGCAGCAGAGAAGGAAATAGGCATCTCTATCATATGAATTTGGATGAGAAAATACCCTATTCTCCACAGTGTAGCAGAGAAGTATGATATCTGTGTTTGTGTGTCTATAGCCTCCATCTCACTTGCCTTTTCTAATTACTCTGCCGGGTTAGAAACTTCATTAAGTGTTCAATGATTTAGAATGTGTGTAAACTCATTTTATTATAACATAAATAATGACATCAGTAATAATTACGACGACCACTCTTTCCAGGTGCCCATAGTTATTTCTTAATGTGGATCACCACAGACCCACAAACCATGCCAAGAGGCCATGCATAGCCTATATCTTCATATAGGCTACTAATCACATCCAAAATCATAGAGATAGTAATTGGAAGAAATTAGATTTAAATCGCATCTCTTTGGCTTTAATCATAATTTAACATGTTGTGTTAGTAGCCTATTATATCTGCATAAAGAGACATCATTCTAATAGGCCTGAGTGTTACTGGTAACCATCTCACAAAGCTTAGGCTTTCTATCTTGGTCTTAGTAGTCACTAAATTTCCTCTGGCAGCTGACATAACCACATATCACCAAGGCCCTATAGCTGGAAGTCTGTGTTATACCTATTAGCCAGCCTCTCCTTCTTTTGTGAGACAGAGCAAACCCACAGTCATAGGCCTTTGCTATGAGTATGGAGAATAATTAACAAACCAAAGTGGTCGGAGTCCCCCTCCATACAGATCTATCTCTAACCCTCTTGACTTCCAATTCTCCATCTATACGGATAAGTATATTCATGGTAAAAAGCCTTTTCAAGATGACAGCACATTGTCAACTTCCACTGACCCTGACATATATAATTAGGTGATTGTTTTCAGCTTCAAGTTTAAGTTATAATTGAGGTAAATATCCTTTTTGAATATTCTTGCTTGCCTTGGGCTGTCTTACTGCAGAGAGGAAGCTACAAATAGGTCAGTAAGAAAGAATATGAAGCAACTCATCAGAATGCACTACATTTCAACAGGAAAAAAATGATCTCCAATTTTACCTGTAGAACCAGGGAAAACTTGAATTCAGATTTCTGGGCTTAAGTCCTTCCATTTTTGGTGACCTCTAACAAGTCACCACACTGAGTGTTATTTTTATTAGTCAAGGCACCATTGAGTTTCCTGCAACTGAAAATTCCTGAGGCTGACTGTGCAAGACAGAAGGTGATAGAAATTCAAATGAAATGGAAATTAAGATCTCATCCTTTACAATTCTCAGCACTTCCAGCAGCAATGCCATCAAGCTAGTGTTGGGACATTTTCACATGATACGCTGTGCAAAGAGCATAAAGCACCCAGACTAAGAGACGAGGGACATTTTATTTTCTTAAAACTGACAGGGTTGGCTGGGTGACTTAAGCAAAGCACAGAGGTGATCAAACCCCTTTATTACTTGGAGAAGCCATATCCATATCTCTGAATACCCAGGGCAGCTCTTTGTAAAACTGCCAGCGTCGTTGTTTAAACAATGCTTGCTAAAAATAGTACTTGAATCATGGGTTTTTAATTTGTTAGCGCAGGGTTCCTAGACATGAATTCCAAACCTATAGGGACTTGAAAGAAATTTAATTAAAGGACTGCAGATAACATTTGTTACAATACTATAATAGATACAATGGCTGTAATTCTCAAATTGTATTGGACGATGCTGAAATAAGATAGCCTTTCAATCATATTCATTACCAATGGTTCTCAAAGAACTGTTAATCATATCATGCTTGCTGTGATGAACTAATCTAGCAACAGCACTTTCTATACATATTAATATGAACACTGCCACATCTACAAATTCTATTATTAGAAGTGAAGGCACATGTGTTCTTTGGGTTAGCCGTTACCTTTCACGATCACATTCCCAGTACTGCTGGCAGTTCCAAAATGGTTAGTGGCAATACAGGTGTAACTGCCAGCATCAGATTTAGTCACATTGATGATTCTGAGGTTTCCGTCTTCAGAGATGGTAATTCTGAAAGCAAAGCAAATAAGCACAATGTTGTTAAGTTTATCTCATGAGAAATGATTTCTGTCATTCCATTGCCTTTCACATTATAAATCATAGTTACATCACTTGACACCCTCATCTGTTTTTAGAAAGTTAGTCTAACATATGCATAAACATTATTGGGATGTGTGATGCGTTTAATACTTTTCTTATTTTTTTTCTTGCTAAAAACAGTCTCTAACTTTGGTTAGAAAAACAATTATGAATATTAGAATACTTCTGTAATACCTCTGATCATTCAGCGCAAATGGAAATGTTGAAGGCCACCATTAATTTTAAAACTGCTGACAAAAAAAATTAGAAAAGGGGGTTGAGGGGGGAGATTAGCTGGTGAAATGCTTGCCACAGAGCTGTGAGGACCTGGGCTCCATTCCCAGAACCCATGTGAACATGGTTGAGATTGAATGAGCTTGTAATCCCAGCAGGGGAAAGGCAGAGGTAGGTGGATGCCTGAGACTTACTGGCCTCAATTCATGTGCCTTCATGCCTGCTTGCTCTCACGCCTTCATGCCTTTACTCCCTCACACCCTCATGCCCATGTCCTCATCTCCTCATGATCTATCTCTTGTACACACACACACACACACACACACACACACACACACACACACACACACTACCCTCTTGCTTGTTTTGTGTTTTGCCTTCAATGACCTTTAATCACACTGGCCCCCTACACTTTTCTAGAGTATCTCAGGTCTGTTTCTACCTCAGGGCCTTTGTACTGGCTATTCTGCCAGACCTGGGCATGGCCTTTCTTTGTACTGTATCTCCTGAAAGCAGGGACAGTATTCATCTCATGATCTAACTTGCCTCTGATACACTGGATAGAGTTCAATAAATGCCCTGTAAATTGCTGTTAAGTGGCAGAATGAATTAGTATGTAAGTAAATTCTATTCTAAGAACTGACATATGTTATGAGAACGTGAGTGGCTAAACCAGTGGGCGCTAGTAGATACCTCAGCCAAGGATCTAGAATGGGCAGAGCTTCACTTAAAAAAAACTTTCGATTTTTAAATAAATGTAACTAAAGATTTAAATTTACTGTATTACAGACACTGTGTTTAGTGTTTACTATCTTTTAGATAATGAAGCTACAGCTCTTCTCAGGATGTTTTTCAGATTCTATGAGCAAGTTTTGTAGAATGTAGAAAAGCTCAACAAATGATGCAAGAATTACAAAGGTAAGTGTTTATACATCACACATGCCAGTTCTGCTTGCTCATCTTTGTAACTTTTGATCTCCTTGTGTATAAAATGGAACTTATTAATCAAATGTGCTTGGTTCTGTGGGATTTCTGCCATGTTCCCTGGTATTTATCGGCCAGAAGTAAATCTTTTTGTTGTTGATTATTAATCAATTGATTAGGGTTTTTATTTGTTTGTTTGTTTTTTCTTTCTTTCTTTTTTGTCTTTTGAAAGAGAGTCTCACTGTGTAGCCCAGGCTGGTCTTGTATTTGTGACCCTAGTGATAGGATTATAGGTGAATACTAAGACACCTGTCCTCTTTTGTTATGAAAAATGGTCTATTATTTAGGCGCTTCTATATATGGGGGTGGGAGGATGGGATTGACAAAACCATCTTCAGTACTTTCATTTTCTAGAGTAGTTAAATCAGCCTATAAATTAACTGAAAGTAGTCTCAAATCCTTGAGAAGGCACAGAGGGGCAGTTAGAGTGTTGTGGTTAGGAGGGTCTGTACTGGTGGATGGTGGCTGTGGCTGTGTTGCTTTCTGCTGGAGGCCTAGATTCAGGGACAATGGGCTCTGGGCTAAGCTAGACCCCTGTGGAGGCTAAAAAGTCATGTTGAAATCATGGCCATTACAGTGGCAGTAGCTCCTGGCAGCTGGCCCGAGAGGGTTGACTTGGTGCTTGTATTCTTTATGCTTTATGAGCCACAATGCCTATGGAGAGTCAATTAAATCAAAGTTTCTCAAGTAACCAAAACCTGCCCTCAGCGATGGCTGTGGTTGTTAAGCCTTTGAATTCAGAATAACATAAGAAGACACAGCCTTAAAATCAGGCACAGGTCCTATTTGCAACACAATGAGGAAAGGAGCTGCTCATTGGAGACTTCTGTTTCTAAACCACCCAGGCTAAGAAGAATGGAGAAACCAAAACCAACGAAGCTTATGACTCCATAGAATATCAAGCTATAAAGTCAGGAAATGTACCCGCCCAAGCACTGGACAGGGTTGTACCTGTCAGCATTGCCACGGAAGGGGCCCTACCTTTCCCTGTGGATATTTACTCAACAATGTTTGATGTGTGAAAAGATGTTTTCTTTAGTGATGCAGGCACCAACAACTGACCAATACTCCTTAAGTAAGTCACTACCCATACTCCTGTAGGTGACCTTAGTGATGCTCATTGCGTCAGGACATGAAAGTAGAAGAGGGGATAGTTTGGAAGAGGATGGGTATTAGTTGGAGTAGGAGTGGGGAAAAGGATATTCAAAATACATCATGTACATGTGTGAAAATGTCAAAAACTCATTACTATTGTACAGAAAATGTAGTAAATAATGATGAAGTTCCTGTTAGTTTTGATACATAGATATTACCTCCTGTAATAAAGTTCCTCAAAGCTACAGTTGGAAAGCATTCTTGTTGCAGCGAAACCAAAGCCTTGGTTGAAAAATAGTCAGAAAAGAGGCCTTCTATTTACTCACACACCAAGACATATACAGTTCCTCACTGAACAGAATTTGATTCGTTACTTACCAGAGAGCAGATGTACTCACAAAAGTGGAGTGGCGACCACAGTTTAATTACCTCAATAATAACAAAAATAGCTTTCAGGGGCTTAATCACATTCCTATTTATGAGACAATTTGCTGGAAATTGAGAAAAGCCGGCATATGATAACTCAGTAAATAGGGTAGCCTTCATATTTTGGATGTGAATTCATCTAACATGAGGTAGATGAGCCGGGAGCATTGTAACCACTCAGAGGGACACTTTCTATGCACAAAGGCCTATTAATAGATTGTTTCAATTAAAACAGCGTCATTCTAATTCGAAAATACTAAAGCTACTGCTAAAATTAAACTGTACCATGCAAATGCTATGGCACAAGAAGGGGAAAGAGGATTTTTCCGAAAATGACATGGGCTTTAGACAGGGCTGAGCCTGATACATGTCAAGTGTATAATGTGACCACATTATTTATGCTCAGACAGGGCAGCTCAACCTTTTCAGTACTGATATTTTGGACTAGATGATTCTTAATCTTTGGGAAGGCTACCAAAGAGCATACTAGGGTGATCTCAGCTCCCATCTTAACCCTTTCCCCCAATGTTCTGACAATCAAAAAGGCTTGAGGGGACCTGTCCCTGGTGAGAGGGCAAATTTTACCTCTAGTTGAGAACTGGTGTAAGCCAATTTGTTATTTCAGTGACTGGGCATCGGTTCTGTTTCATACTTTACACTTCCCAATGCTATTTACAAACACTTAAATAGAAAAAAATTTTAAAAGACTCGGAATATTAGAATTCCTATGAGGGTATGCCAGTGAGGAAGATCGTTTGTAGATGGGGCAGCTTCAGCAGCCTTCGCTAAATCATGCCATCTTGCCATGACTGTTTATTCTTCCTCGGTGCAATCCAGATTAGGAGCCAAGCTGATGTTTTCAGAAAAGTTCTCTTGCAATATGGTTCAGTGACTCAGAATCTCATTCCTATCCCTAAGCTGTGTCATTTTGTGTAAAACAGTTTCTCCATACTTAAGCTTTTTTAATTTGAGCAAACAGACTAATAAAAATTGCCTTGTAGGTTGCTGGTAAGTTTTGCCGTATTTAGAAAATGTGTAGCACACCAACATGAACCAACTAGGTTTGTGAACCAATTGTTCTCATCAGCAGAGCTCTGCATCTCCCACCCTCACCCCTGGCTCCATTGTTTCAAATATCTGTAAAGGACTGGCTTCTCGGGTCAAGAAAACTGTCAAATAGTTCTGCCATCTGGAGTCCTATGACATATTGTCATGTTTAACAAAGCATATGGGTGATACTCAGTTTTCAAGAAATAGAGAGGGAATATGAGCATCATTCGTGGGTATTTAATAAGTACCCCTCTAGATAATAAAGCTTTGTCATGTGGCAATTTCTTTCTAATTGAAATATTCCCTCCTGAAGGGAGGAGTGAAGTTCATGAGATTCAGAAAGTGAACAACCAACCTTACAAGTCCAGAAGGAAGATCTGGAATTTACAGGCTTCACACTGCCCCTCCTCAAGATTTAAAAAAAAAAAAAATCAGGAAACAGCTACTTGGAAGAAGAAACTGCCCAGTGGAGTTGCTTGGAGAAGATACTCTTGGATATGTAGAGCCACCTGCAAGTCATGCATAGAGCTCCTGGATTTCAGTTTCTTAAGTCGCCACCCATCCTGGGTGAGGTTTTCAGTGATACAGCTACCTCTGAGCAAACCCTCCCTGGCCCTCCTATAGAAAATCCTAATTACCTCATTGTTTCACCAAGTTGACTTTCGGTGGTATGTATTTAAACTATTTTTTGGTGCTCTATCTGGTGTAAAATATTTGTTGATATCACTCCAGGAAAAATTAGTCTAATAGACATCACTCATTTACATTTTCAATAAATGCAATAATGCTTTAACCATGTCAACAGATCCAGAAATAATGTTACCATGTTATAGACCATCATTTCTATGAGTGGAAACGCCATCTCTTTTCCCATAAGAAAGATGTTTTTCATAATGCTAGCTCTAAGAAGAGTAGGAGCTAGACCTGGCTGACCAGGAGACCCTGTTCTCTTTTCTGCAGATACATATGCTATCAAAACCAGAGTCTATCTGAGGAGACAATACGTTTTCTGGTGAATTGCAAAACTCGGAAGATATAAAAAGAGAAGTTTGGGTAGTTACTTTACCCACCATGGGGGTGGGGAGAAGCAATTTTTAAAGAAGTCAAGGAAAGAGACTGAGAGCGGCGAACATGGAGAGGAC